TGCAGTCTCTAAGTTAAATTCAGTATTACGCTGTTTTTTTCTACCAGTTTCATTATTTATTATTTGCCAGGTAGTTTTTATTTTGTCATCCGCTGATTTTATTTTATTACTAATATACAGTGATTTAGCAATTTTGCACACACTTTTAAAAGTTTTTGAATATTTCGCAACATGCTGATGAAAGTTTGTATTTTTTACATGTTGCCTTAGGCCATATAGTTCAAAAAGTTTATCCCTGCTCTTACGAATACCTGGAGTCGCCCAATCACTAAATAAGAACTTGGTGTAAATACTTTTTGTCTTTTGTGGAACAATGTCATTAAATTGCGATTTTAACAAGGTAAAAAACTCCGCATAGAACTCATTAGGGTCCCAAATATTATTAAAGTTTTGAACACACAATTTACTGGTCAAGGTATTATTTAATTTCTCTAAATTTTTACATGTAATTGGCCTATACCTTATTTGAATTTTTTGTACAGGTATGTAGGCACAAAACGTTATTGTTTGTCCACTGTGATCAGAAGGCAATTTATTAACAATTTCTTTATGTAAGTAATCACAATTACAAAAAATATTATCTATACAAGTGGCAGAAGAAGCTGTCACTCTAGTTGGTTCCATAAAAACATTAGACAGATTAAATGATTTAAAAAGACTTATTAATCTGATACTATTTGAGTTTGTTTCTAATAAGTTAATATTAAAATCACCACTTATGATGATTGATTTACTACTAGTACTAAGTTTTTTTAACACATCTTCCATTACAGAATCAAATACAGATAGATTCTGATAGCCCGGAGGTCTGTAAACACATACTACAACATGCCTATCGAGCTCGACACAGGACAACTCTATAGAATGTTCAACTGACAATCTGATAATGTCTTTCCTTTCTTTAGATTTAACAGAATTTTTGATTAATATTAATGATCCACCATTTTGCAATGTTCGGAAAGTCCGCCGTCGGATCGAAATCAGGTAGTTCTGTAAAGAGGAATCAAGTACCTATAGTAAGTAGGTGTAAGTCAAACTATGAAGCATTTGTGTATAATATCATTTATCACCTTTTTGAACCAACTACTAAAGATAATGATTAGATTAAAATTTATTTGATGATATTAATTTTTATAGACAAGTATCCTGATTCTAAAAATATTGTGCATTTTAGTCTAATGCATGCCTTAGGGACATTACAAAGTTAACCATACAAGTGTTAATTGGATACAAAAGACAAATTTACTGGCACAGCTGAAATTTGAACAAATAGTTCAGGCAGCTGAGATTTGCATGCTTAAAACACTAGACCAACACTAATATACTACCGCTTCTTACCTAAAATATTTTGTCCTATTCTGAGACTTACTTAGTTGCTCTAGGTCCACTGCAGCAAAGAGTTCAGCCACATTAATAGTGTCATCTGTCACAAACTTATTGCATCCAAGCCATAGTTTATCAAACTCTTCTAGTGCATTTATCATTTTCTGTTTATAGCTGTCTACTTGCTTGGGGTCTGGACTTTTTTCCCAGTCAAAAGTGGGTTTATAAACTAAAAAATGCATCAAATAAAAAGAAGCCAATACGTAAAATGTAGTGAAATAATTCAAACGTATACCGTAGTCATGAAGAACAGGTTACCAGGTAATTTTAAACCAACATGTTGCTATTCTAAATATTCATCCACTCTTGCTTGTCCTTTGCTGTCTTCTGGATATAAAGTTTTGGATATCATGTTCTCTCTAGCAAGATATTTTGTAATGGCAACACTGTTAGAAATTATTATAGCATATAATTATTATGTAGTTTAACATGCTAGAAGCTTAAGAAGCTGATGCATGTCAGCAGATTAGACAAAAACAATAAATCTAGTAATTTAGTTCTATCCTTTTAATACGGTCGGTATATATCTGCATTTATTTATTAATATTTTTTGAGGACATTCCTAGGTGACTAGACTTTTATATCTAGCAACATGTAACAATTTTTCTCCATAATATGAAGGGGCTACCTTACTACCTTCTGGAAGGGGCAACTAGTCTTTTTTAAGTATTTTAACTTGTTATTTTGACTTTTAAAAGTGCCTTTTTAAGAGGCCTAATTGAAATTGATTTGACTTTCACTTTTAATTTTTTCTCTGGAATCAAACTTTCTTTATAAACAGAGACTCTGTTATACCGATTTAGTTCTTAAGATCCTCTTAATAAGTCTTATCATAAAACTCATCATATTCATAGAACTTAATGTTTATTTTATTAAAATTGCAAGCTGCTTATTAACTATTGAAAAGCAATAAAATTATATTAATATAGAAGTAAAAAAAATACCTTTCCATTAAAATAAAGCCATTGTGATCAATAGTAGGAATCTTTTTGAACCGGTTTATCGCTTCATACTCAGGCTTTAATTGATGTCCTAAATAAAATTAATTCGATATTGAAATAAATAAACTATAATGGTTATATATAAAGGTTCTGATTACCTTTTCCCATGTCTAACAACTTCGGTTCAAAATTACACTTAGATATTTTTAACAAAACATACAAAACCCTACAGGTTGGTGACATAAAATCATAGTACAATTTTAAACTCATTTAATATTAACTATTTTGAAATAAAAAATAAAAAGTTAAATGCAGTTAGAAGATGGTAAGAAGTAAGAATTAAGAAGTAATAATTTCAAGTTTGGAACTATGGACTTATGGAGTATGGAAATGGACTATGGACCTAAAAAAATCATAGCAATTTAGACCCACAGATACCTAATATTTGTTTGAAACTATCGGTTGTTTTTTTATAGATAACATTAATTACAACATTCCTACATATATTTATCTATAGATTACATATAAGTATAATTTCCAATTTAATTTAAAGTAGACAGTAAACAGGTAGTAAGTACCCCTTGCGTTAAATTTGCAGTAAACGCGCATAATTCATAAGATATATCAGCATATAAATTTTCGGAGACTTTAACTTTGTATTCCTCGCTAGTAAAAGTTACTTAAAAAATTTTAACGCCACTATTATAAATTATTATTATATAAAGCTACTTAGTACTTTAGAAGAGATTAAATAAATAAAAAAAACTTAAGTTCATTAAGTTATTATTGTGTTAGTTACAATATTGTCCTAAATTATATTAGTAGGTCTACTGTACGGTACTGTCTTTTTTACCATTGTATAGGCAGCGGCACGTAAGTCTAGCGCTGGCCGATACGTGGAGGGGATTGCTGCGCATGTGTACTGTCGCGCGGGGGACGGAATGCGACTGGAGAGCCAATCGAAACTCTTCATTCCGCTAGCCCCCCCTCAGGTACCTATTTTTTACTTCTGCGCAATAACGGTCAGCGCTAGAGTTTCGCGCCGCTACTTGTATTGATCAACCGTCTCCGTAGACGTATCTCACATATTTTCAAGAGAAGCCGACAGACCGAGGCGCTAAAAAACACCATGTCATTCACTTGCTTATATTATTGAAACAAATACCGTCTATGTAACAGCCAACATGCTGCTTACTGAACTCCTCGATCAGTCCATTAATATACAGATTGAACAAGGAAGGAGAACTTTAAAAAATTTGACGGAGTATTTTCCATTTCCTCCCCTTCATTTCACCAATTTTATCAATAAATTGCAGTGCACGTTCTTTTTAAATGACAGGTTTTTGGTGAATACGGTCTTGACAGTTTTACTAAAAGCCCCAAGGGGTTAGGGGTAAGATTCAGACTCAAGACGTATCGTTATATGTATGGCTCCCATTAGTCGTACATAGCATTAATTCTAGCATTAGAACCTTAAGAGCTCATCTAATACTCTTGCGAAGCGTCTCGACCGATTCTTATGAAATTTTTTATGTATATTCAGTAAGTCTGAGAATCGACTACTATCTATCTTTCAAACCCCTAAATGTTAAGGGTGATCAACCCCTAAATTTTAAATTTTTGGATACAATTTTTAATTTTTTTTTTAATAATATAGGGAGCGTTCAAGTATTACGTAACGTATTTTTATTCCTTTTGTAAAACGTTACGATGCGGGGCGGGGATTAAATTACGCGTTATTGTTAATATTTTTTTCGACTTTCCAGTACTTTACACCACATAATGGTAACTTTTAGGTATAAAGAGTCACTAGGTGGTTACGAAACGTTTTACTATACTTGGTTACAGTACTGTACGTGGGTACTGAATAACGTTACGGTGAGTTACATGGGGGGGGTCAATCATCTCCAAAAATTGCGTTACGTAATACTTGAACGCTCCCACAGCATATAAAATACATACAAGCCTTAATTTTAACCCCTCTACGATCAACCCCTATTTTTTATTTGTTAATTAAAAACTCATGACTTGAACTCTGAAGTTTATTTAAAGATAAATTCACAGAAAAAACCTAAAAAGTTTTTATTACGGAAAACTGAACAGTCTCGGGTAGCATAGCAAAATGTTCCATGTTGGTGAACTAAAAAGGTAGACTAAGAAAAATCACATTAAGGAGAAACGAAGTTCGTGGGAGCAGCTAGTGAAACTATAAATATGTTTTAATTATACACTGTACATTTAGTTACCTGACAGAACAATAAATAAACTGGAAGAGTTTATTATAATCTTACATACTATGTACCTACCTACTATGACTATGTGTTTTATTGCTTCACCAATGTTTGCAATCGCAATTGGTTTTTCTTCATTCTATATTAAGTTGCAACATTTTTATATTAAGTTGCAATTTACAGTTAGTGGTAAATAAAAAATGCATTGTTGTTATAACCATTAAATATAAAATTTTGTAAAAATTGATTACACATAAAATAAAAAAATAATTATTAATTTCTTACATACCTAATGGAATATAAAAATAACTTTATACATATCACAATTTAGATATATTTTTCTTCACAATTTTATTTAAAATAACACGCTTCATCATAATATGGATTGAAATGCTGTTTGACTTTTGGCCACCATTTTGTGATGTTCGGGTATCTAGCAGCTGGTTTAAAACCAGCCATTCCTATGACATTAAATATATTAACATAAGTTCAAACTAAGAAGATTATTTCACATTTAGTTCAGTTTTTTAGTTGTTTTACTTTACAATTATATTAATACTTCATTCCACCTGTCTGTTTATAAATCACAGGTCATCAGATCAATTATTAGTCTATTTCTTGCATGTTATGGCCCAATACTTACTTGGTTGCTCTATTTAAACTGCTGCAAAAAGATCTGCGACAGTAATACTGTCTCTTGTTACAAACTAATTCCGTCCTAGCCATAGAGCATCCAACTCTTTAAGAGCATTTATCATTCTCTTTTCATAGCTCTGAACTAGCTTGGGGTCTGGCTGTTTGCCTGTGTATATTGGGTTTAAGTACTAAAAAATGTAAAATTCAATAAGCCTAGAGTTCAAAAAGTAGTAAGTCTCTGTATCATATAACAAGTAATAACCGGGAGGTCCTGTCTATTGGGTTTACTTTTCAAAAGGTTTTATTTTCCAGCATTACATTTTTTTTTGAGGAAATAGAAGGCTGATAATTTTCCTAATAAAAATGAGGAATACATAGACCCAAGGACCCCTTGCCAGTGTGAGGTTAAAGGAATCCTAAACTCAAGAAAAAGAAAATAAGGAAATATAAAATTTGTACCTTAACCCTGAAAAACATGGCACAATGTAATCTTAATCCAATATGTTGCCATTCTAAGTATTCGTCCACTCTCGCTTGGGCTTTGCTGTTTTTTGGATATAACATTATAGGTATCACATTTTCACAAGCTAGGTACCGTATTACAATATAGCTAATGTTGATATTACAAGTAGTGATCACTTAATTTATTAACGAAATCGTAAAGTAATTAGTATTATGAATAATTTTAGTTTTTGTAACCTTTCTGTTAGTATAAAGCCATTGTGATCAATAACAGGAACTTTTTTGAATCTATTTATATCTTGATATTTATCTGTGAAGTGCTGGCCTGAAACACATGTTGTTTGTATAGTTTAATTTTATTAAACATAAATTTTCGATACGTTGAGTACACGATACGTGCAACTTGTTTTTAAACGTTACCTTTCGCAGATCTAAACATTTTGGTTCAAAATTACACTTAGATGTTCTTAATTAAATATACAAAGCCCTTGATGGTTGTGACATAAGATCGTAGTATAACTTTAATTTCATTATATTAAATTTGTGTTTAATGTTTTGCTTTTTTTTACTTATAAAATTATACAACTTTTTAAATTAAGAACACAGCTTAGAAACTTTACTACTAGTTTATCAGTAAAGTGATATTTATATTTTATTCTAAACTATGCTTGTCGTGTTTCAAATTACGTATAGTCCGGGTCAGTGGCGACAGTAGCGTTGCAAACATAAAAGTCATAGTCAGCTGTCAGGCGTCAGCCGGCTGATAATAATTTATATTGACACCGATAGTTGTAATAAGCGATTAGCGAACCGACCGTCAGCTGCCCAAGTAGCGGTGGGTTGTGACTTGTGGTTGTGGGAAGTTGCAAAAGTCGTAAAAAAAATAATAAAAAAACAATATTTATTAATTTGATCTTGCGTACTAACGCAAGAACTTTTTTCATAAATTGTTAACATGATACTGAGCTGGAAAAATTTATTCTAAATATAGCCATTCGTTCTCACTCAACGTCAGCATCGTCTCTAGAGTAGAGGTAACAAAAAAGGCGTATGAGTATGTATTTGACTTCATCCACCAAAAATAAATAAATGCTCATTCTAATCTGAACTTCTGAGCGTTACATTTCTCTGTCACCGTGAAAATGAAGCAATATTTACATTGAAATGGCATTGCATCAAGCAACAGAATTTGATAAATGACTTTACGACCACTAATTTAATTTGGAGATCGGTCTTTAGATATAAATCAATCCAAGAGTGTTCATAATCTTAGATTGAGGATACATTATTAATTTTGGCCGTAAGTATATGATTGTAGATTTGGTGTCTCATTGACCCAAACACATGTCATAGACCATTTCGAGCGTATAGAATAGCGACCAACCTTTATCTCTATACGGTTTCTATGGTTTAAATCTTGTTCTTAGCTATGTTATAATGGTCTAGCGCTGAGTGGCGCTTGCTTCATCGATAAAGTATGTCCACAGAACATTTAGATCTATTACCGTTGTATGTCGCTAAGCACGGACTCTAAGTAATTGACATAATATGAGAAATGACAATTGAGTTTTAATTAGTGATGTACAGATCCGAACTGAATTTGGCGAGTTCACTGCGCAACCTAAAAAAACTTTACAAAATGACCTTACCCTATCACCAATTTCGAGATAAACATTTACTAACAAAGATAATAAATAAGGAAAAATTTACTAACCTAACACCAATTTCGAGATAAAAATTTATTAACAAAGATTGATGGTTTATACAGTGTTAATTAAGGTACGAGCATAATCTAATCAAAATTAATTTATGCACAAAGGTATGTACATGTATTAATATCAACAAAAGGTTCTAAATACATATACTACGTTTCTGAAATGCATAGAGTCGGCGATATAGAGAGAGAGAGAAGAGTCAGTTTCTCAGTTTGTCAAGAAACTCTTAGCTTATCAATTTATGTATTAGCCAAGTTTTTGGATTAAAAGAATATTGGAAGAAACTGCAACTATTAATCCATATTCCACTTGACATCAGCCGATGCTGAGATGCTAAGGTTTCAATAAATAGTCGATCAGGCGTAAAACACACACAATACGATGCATGAACAGCAACAATGACAGTTTAGTGAGTATAAGAAAAAATAAATATTTATAACATGAATCATGGCATTCACTTTACATCAATATACTGTCTAGTCTAATACCTTACGGAAACTGTTGTTGATAGAAATCTCTCTCAAATACGTGTATTTTTGTAAATTGTGAAAGATTTAATTTAAGAATGGCACATAACACAGAACTTAACTTTCCTTTAAGTGTTTACAGGCTTGGTACGTCATAGGGTCTGGTGCGATGACATCTTCCCCAGAGTAGCGTTTTGGTGGGTGCTTGAAAATATTAGATACTCAACAGAATCTAAAATGATTTCGACATTTACATAATTGTCAATTAATTTACGGTTAATGTAACTTTAAAATTTATATAATGATAATTGTTTAACTTTTCCTTAAAGTTTGTTGTAAAAGCAAATAGATACAGTTTCCATAGAAGGAATAATAATAATGTATCTTCTGAAGCCTCGTTGGTCGTAATCTTAGCTTAGTCTTATTCCGTATATTACCTATACAGGTGAAAGGCACAGTTTGTTTAAAAACCATTTATATTTTATGTAAATATAATAAAGGTTTAAATAAATATAAATATGTATGTACAAGTTAATCTCATTATGTTTAGTTCCTTAAAGTAATAGAAATCGACTCGAGAGTCATGAGTGAAGAAAACAATAAATTCTTCCAATAGCCCGCATAAATATGGATTGAACACCTGCAGCAGTACCCCAGATTTTACCCTGTAACAATAACTATAACTATGCTAGAGAATTTTAGCCGTGCAGTAAATGTCCAAATTTTTCATCATTGCATACGCTGAAAAGCTCAAATTCAAATGGCTCTATGTGTAAACAATCTATAACAAAAGTAACAGTTTTGACAGAAAAGTTTAGTTCATTAATCATTTTCTTTAATTTTAGCGCATCATGAACGTCAAAGCGTCATTACACCACAAATTATAAATCTAATTACTTTTCTGTTTCATTCAAATATAATATAATAGTACAAATAATAATATATAATAATAATATATATAATCATTACAAACAAACTATATATTATAACTGATTGTAATGTTACCAAACCATTAATTTTTAATTCATCGCACAGATCGCTCGAATCTGTATGGATTCGATCAACCAGTCAGTTTTGATCATCACATCTAGTGTTGCCCAAATGCAAGACCAAGACGAGACTTAGGCCAGTCTTGGTATTGGTCTCGCGTCAATACACCTGGTCTTGATCTTGGTCTTGGTATTGCGCTCTCAGTCTTGGTCTTGGTCTTGATCTTGCAGCAAGAGTCTCGCAAGTCTCGCAAGACTTGCAAATACCTATTAGCCTATTGCTATTTATTGAACACGTTAGTTTAGATTTTAGATTATGATTCGCGCTGTAAGACGTATGTAGTTGACTCTGTAACTACATACGTCTTACAGCGCGAATAATATTTTAATCAACAATCTAGCACTAGCCTGCAAATTGCAAAAAAAAAATTGAGTTTCGCGGGCTATCCTATGCTACCTATGCGGCCAAAATAAGGAAGTGCGTGTGTGTTGAGATTAGAAGATTTCATTACAGTGTGCGTAGGTACATTTTTTAGGCAATTTGTCGTTACTCGTGACTGGCGCGCTTTGCTACGTAGATACAGTCGTTAAAGTATGTGTAAGTGAGAAACGATGTAGGTACCTACTTCAACAAAATTGTATTCCTTAGAAAAATAACGACGATTATTTTTATTTATTTAGTAAATCATCGCTGAAGACAATAGTCGCTACTAGAGTAGGTACGATAGAAGTTGATAAATCGACACTGCAAATCTCGATTTTTGGAAGTGTGTGATTTTAAATCAAAATGCGTAAAGCAATATGACGTCACTCATATTTGTAGCTTTTCCACGGTTCAAGTTTGTTAAAATCACCCACTTCCAATTTTGCAGTGCAATGTTCTTTAAAAAAAAAGTATTTTTTTTTATTTTTTTTTTATTTTACATTTAAGGAACAGAAACAGAAAACAGATTGGTGAAATACATATAGTTATTACACACTAAGCAACATTTGTAAACCTGAATTTCCAATTATATCTGTACACAGCATTTTAGTGGAATCTTCAGTGCTGGTTTACCAAATATTAACAATTAAATACAGTATATAATATGTACATATATTAAACTTAATGACAAAAAAAAAATAGAAAAATTTAATGACAAAAAAGAAAATTAAGTTATTCTGGTTGCAAGTCTGCACCGCGAATAATCTTTCTAAATTCATAACTACTATTGTGAAAAATATCAACATGAGAACAAACAGAATTATAATACTTGCACATTCTAGCGAGCGGACCATTCTGGGATACATTGTTGTTACTTGTGGGTATCATAAATAGTTGCGGCTTACGCACAGAACGCGTCGGTACCTTGATGTCAAGTTCATCCAAAAGATAGCTGTCAAGTGAGCCATTTGCTATTTTATGCAAAGTGCACAGGTCGCTCATCCATCTTCTCTTTTCAAGACTTACAATCTGAAAGTGGGCAAGACGCTGGTCATATTGCTTTAATTTGCGCCTAAGACCATACTTTGAGCATAAAGCTCTAACAAACCGCCTTTGTATAGATTCTAATCTATCTGTATGAACTTTGTATATCGGGGCCCATACAGCTAAACAGTACTCAACCATGGTTCTCACGAGAGAGCTGTATAAGGCAATCAAGGAGTCGGCTCGCCTGAACGGTTTAGCGGTTCTAAGAATAAAGGACAACATCCGGTTAGCTCTACTACAGATATGATCATAATGAGGTCTAAATGACATAACAGAGTCAAATATTACTCCCAAGTCTCGAACCACCTCAACTCTATCCACAAGAATACCCTTAACATTATAGTTATACTGGATAGGGTTCCTACTTTTTTGTAAATGTTATAACCTGGCACTTCTTAATATTCAGAGCCATAGAGTTTTCATCGCACCAAGCAGATATAGTATTAATATCCGATTGAAGGGTCACACAATCTCTTTCATCAGATATACGTCTGAAGACTTTTATGTCGTCTGCATATGCCAAACATTCACTACTAATTTTGCTTAGCAAGTCATTCACAAATAACAAAAACAATAAAGGACCCAACTTTGACCCCTGGGGCACGCCCGATGTTACTAAAAATGGCACAGATTCATATCCACAAAGAGCAACGAGTTGTGTGCGGTTCAACAGGTAAGAAGTTAACCATCTATATAAGTTCCCATGGATTCCCACATGTTGAGCCTTCACAAGCAATACAAAATGGTCCACTCTATCAAAAGCTTTTGAAAAATCGGTATATATAGCGTCCACCTGCTTTTTATTATTGAACGATGAACATAAATAAGTAGTATAGCATAATAGATTAGAGTTGGTTGACCTGCCAGTAACAAATCCATGTTGTCGTGG